CCTCCACACAAAACTCAACAAGCTATGTGTCATGTGCACAACAACAGAAAAAGGGCTTTCCCAAACTGTCCAAGGTTGGAAGTGCACAATTGTCACCCCCAACCCTCTGTCACAGAGAGAGGGGCTCTGGCTGCAGGAGGTGGGTGAATAGGAGCTAGTTACATGATACACTCTAAGAATGGGTGTAACACGTAACATGCACCTAAAGGTGAACCTATCTTTAAAGGAAATCTAAACCCGAAAATGTAAACAAATTGCCGCTGACCGGTGCTTAGATGAGGAAGTTGATTTACCAAAGGCAAATAGACTGTTTACTTGGCGAGGGAAGTTACACTTTGCAAGGAATTTTCCCCAGAGTTTAGTGAATGTGTAGACATTTCAGTTTGCAAAGGATTGAGAATCATGGACCAGGAAAATAAGAACTGCATTTTTGCTTGCACATGATTGGAAGGTAGAGCTTTATCTTATTCGCTAAGCACTGGGGACAATACCCTTGCAAAGTCCAACTTCACTTGCAATGTGAACAGTCTATTTGCCTTTAGTAAATCAACCCCTAGGTAGGGCAGATTACCATGTGTGTAGAACAGGCTTTCTCAACTAGGGTTCTGTGTGTTGCAGATGGAAATTATGGGAGAACAAAAACTAATGAACGAGCATGCTGCATTTTCTATTCCCTCCCACATGTGTCTGCAGCTGTCCTTATCGTTTCATTGTCTCCTCTACTGTCATCTCTCCCAGCTGTCTTATCTTCCTCAGATGATCTTTTCCCCTTTGTGTGATGTGACACTTACACCTCTGCTTTGATCTACCGCTCCCTGGTGCTCAGCCTACATGCCTCTTCTACTCTCATCATTTTACAAAACACATTGGGGGGCATTTATCAAAGCCAGAGCAGAGAGAAATTGGAGCAGCGTAGCAATAGAGCAGATTCTGGCTGCTCCATTTTGATCATTTTCCCTTAATGTTTATGAAAAAATCTTATCATTAACAATGGGCACAACATTATATACCTGGAGATCATCAAAATCAGGGTGAATTCTCTGAAGGGGCTCACATTTTCCAGTAACACATAAAGTCTTGTGACTGCAGATTACTTTTTCAGGAAATTGAAGGTAATTTGAACTGACATGACTTATAATGACCTTAGCAGGGGCTGCAATTGAATGGGAAAGGATGAAAATTTGTATCTGCAAAATTCCTTGAATTTTAGAATATCAGAGTGTGGATTTAATTGTTGATGGCTAAACCTAAGCCTCCTTCTCCCAGGCTCCTAACCAAGGGAGGAATGAGAACTAAGACACAAACACAACCAACTGGCCTTTTCCTCGTATGCAAAGTTTGTAAATGAGATTGTACTTTATGACCAGAATAAGATGACTACTGCCTTGTGAAAATTAACAGTCTGTAGTAAATTGTCAGCAGCATTATACGAGATCCACTTATCATCTTATAAGATGCTCCTTGGAATGTGTTCTCTTACTATAGCTTACAAAAGCTGAGATGTAGAAAATCCTTTATTCTAAACAGAGAACTTTTAGGGCCCAATCAAGCCTTTGCTTTCTTGCTTATTATGTAATGCACACACATTAATGTGCACTCTGACATGCGATAATGTGCTTTGCACGCACAAGAATGGATCAGAAAATGGACATACAGCAATTTTTTCTGATGCCTTAATGTTTTAAAGATGCAATTTAAAATAAATGACGCTGCAATGAACTTACATACATAATTCACCCCAACGCACCTTGCGTTGCACTGTCAGAGATGGTACATTTGGTTGCATTAGGTAGCCCATTCAAATGAATAGGCTGCTGCCTTAACGCAAGTCATGTTATTGTGATTGCACTAATTCAACGCAATAGTATGAGTGGGCTAGTCAGGTTATAACTCAGGGATAAAGCACACTCAATGTGGGATGTACATTAGCACAATCTAACACTGCTCTTTGGCTTGTTCTATAACTCAGGGATAAAGTGCACTCAATGTGGGATGTACATTAGCACAGTCTAACACTGCTCTTTGCCTTGTTCTATAACTCAGGGATAAAGCGCACTCAATGTGGGATGTACATTAGCACAGTCTAACACTGCTCTTTGCCTTGTTCTATAACTCAGGGATAAAGCGCACTCAATGTGGGATGTACATTAGCACAGTCTAACACTGCTCTTTGGCTTGTTCTATAACTCAGGGATAAAGTGCACTCAATGTGGGATGTACATTAGCACAGTCTAACACTGCTCTTTGCCTTGTTCTGTACTAGAGCATTGCTGTAAAGTGATGCTCACATGTATACAATTCCTTCTGACAGATAACTCTTTGAGATTTGGTCTCATCTAGTTCCAGGGGTGCTCAAAATGGCTGCAGTAGAGTTACATGCATTCAACTTCTCATCCCTTTAACCAGGATGGGGTTACTACATTGCATTCCTGGCCAGAGTGAAGCAAGGCTTTGCTAGTGTACACAGGTCATTATTCTTCAGGTTTTTTTTCTGAGTATTGTTAAGACAAAAGGTATAATGCGGTAGGATTATTGGTAGCCTAGTGGTCCCTTTTGCCTCTGTATAGCTTAGCCCTGGCTAAATGTGCAGTCTAGAATGGAATGGAAATGATCACATAGTTTCATGTGAAAAACCATTTAGTAATTCAATTTGCAGTTTTGATTTTTTTTTCTATATCCAGTAAAGTTATAAACAGAGATATATGATGGATGCATTATATTCTCCATACAGACCATGGCTCTTAAAACTGAATAGTCCATTATATCGAATCCAACAATAACATGTGACCTTTCACAGGTCAACACAACCTCTCCATTTGTTTTTTAAAATTGATCTACATTAAGGCTGTTTATTCTGAGCAGAGGATTGATATGAGAATGGATGACCTCTGCCCTTTCAGTAGTCACCTAGACCAATGCTGCTTAATAAGTGGAGGAAATCTATTTCGACCTTAGCTTGTTTGCTGTTCCTCAGGAGAAAGAAAGATTTTGTAAGAACAAATCGTGGTTAAAAGGTTATCCTAATTCTACTTCCTTTTTAATTGTATGATTCTTTGTCTGCACTTCCCAATCATATCCTTCTTTTAGTTTTAGACATTGTTACACTCCAGCATGGTTCTTAGGGGGCCTTTGGAGGAGAGCTACTGACTGGCTGTTCTCTGAAAAAGGGAACCCATCTAGCGGTACAAAGATTTTCATTGCATTTTATTAATGAAAAAGGTTCCCTGGGTTTTGGCCCAAATGTCTGCTTTAAGCACTAGAGATAGTGTAATGTGGTTGTGGATAGGCTATTTGTGCAGTCCCATTGTTCATAGATACCTCCTCCTGTTTACTAACAGCTAACCATTTTAATTATGAGTCCCTTATTATTGGTTTGGTTATTATGTTGGCATTTAAATAAGGACATCTGACTTTTCTTTGGCTTTCTTGATTTATTAAAATATTCCATGTCTGTGATATAAAACATGAGGAAGCTAAGTAGGTTGACATGATAACCATCCAGTGTGTGAAAATGGTCAGACATGTCTACCACCATCTTCAGCCTGCACCTAACCTGTTGTAGCCTATTAATTTATCTACCCATTTTCTATTTTTCTTGCTGTATACAACTTTCTAGCTAAGCCTGGAAATGTTGGCTTGGGTTGGGGTTCTATGGGTTGAGTTGTTCTGTAGGTTTCTTACAGCTCTTGTAGTCCAAATTGGCAATATTTATCTTCTGTAGTTTCGGTCTCCATCCCCAAAGCTAACATGAATGCCGAAAGGCTAGGTTCACTTCTAGCACAAAAACTTTTTGCACTTAAAAAAAATGTGCATTTATTATATTTTTACTCTGCAGCCTGTAGAGCAGTGCACAAGCAATCAGCAGATCAGGAGTGTAATGCCAAGATCCTGTAGACACTCAGTCAGCTGTCTGCCCATACCTCTTAAATGGGCAGGCAGGTACTGCATGGCAGGAAGAATCAATGAACTACGAGAGCGCTCACTAGTGCCCTCACAGTTGATTGGAAATCACAAGTCCTTGGCTGTGGTAGTACTTGTAGTTCATTCATTCACATGTTACACCTTAAAATGGGTGGAGAATGTAACATGTTCTGAATGTGAACTTATCCTTTAATTCTCTTGCAAGTGGATACCACAATTAAATATTTAATACTTAATTAAGGCATGCCACCTTAACGTAGCTTAATAATGACCCTTGGCACTGGAGAGCCAGTGAGATATAAGAAGTCACCATATCAGTCAGCCAGAAACTATATAAATATTGGTTTTGAAAGGAATAGACTTTTAACCAGGCAAAGCAATCTAAGAAAATAATTTACAAAACACCACTGCATCCAGTTACGTATTGGTTAAAGAAAACTGAATGTATTTGTGAATACAGCCAGTATAACTACCCACACCGGTCTTTATAGCAGCTTAGATGAGTAGAGAGCACAGGGATGATGTCCTTGATTGTCCTATCACCAGGCTGGGAAAGGACAGGTAACTGAGTAAGCAGACCCTCAACGGCTATTTTTCCTCTAGTTACCTAGCAGATGGGTGAGTATCATTACTATAGATTAAGCAAAAGGGTATTGAACTGTGTGCATGCAGGATACTTGCAGCTATAGGAGTAAGGTAGGACATATACAGTATGTAGGGTGTACAACTGAGATCCGGAGATTATTTTTTTTTTTATGCATCTTTGTCGGGGTCTTTTCTTTTTCTTTATAAACGATCCTAGATGAGGGAGAACTTCCATCCTTCCTGATAACCTGACATTTGTGAGCCTTCCCCATTTTCCCCCAATGGATGCCTTGTACTTTTGAGCTCATGTGCAGCAACTCAAGCCATACATACACCCTAAATCAGTCTAGAACACCAGAGTGCTGCATTCCTAGCCTCCTTCAAAACTGGCCAACTGTGAATTTTTTTCTTTTTCACTTTCTAGATAACAGAACCTAAGAGTGAACACTATCCCTGCATACTGTTCAATATTATGGACACACCTTTGCTGTATATTATACGGTGTGAATAGAGGGTTGTGTTCTTATTCCTCGCTCCTCCCGGAGTAATTTGCCACAGTCTAATTCCGTAGACAGGGTGGTCCCCGAAGTGGAGTTGGACGGGTGGGTCGGTTTACATTGCAGACCGTAAAAGAAACAAAAGGCCTTGGCATGCAGAAAGGGATGAAAAGAAACATGCATAAATTAACAATAATATGGCAGTGACAATATAAGCACAATGAAAATAACAGTAAGACAAATTCAACTGAAACAATGGAAAAGCAATGCAAAAAAAAACAATACATGCAAATAAAAAAGTAAAAATGCACAGCAAACAAAATATGCTGAATTTAGTAACCAGAGTTTTAGGGCTGGGATAGGAGGGGTTTGCCAAACACTGCTTGTTTAGGCGTAGTCTGGCTACCGCTAACCAAATTTAGAAGCCGAACCAATAAGGAAGGGAAATGTAGAATCTGCAAAGGAGACCCAAATTAGCTCACACCAAATGCATCCATCTTTGCTGTGTCTGCATGCTTCTTGTTTTTGTCTGAAAATTATTATTAGCACTGGTACCAGTGTAATAATTGTTTTAATTTACCTTGGTGGCTAAACTTGAAATTTAAGGTTAAGTCGAGTTTGTTAAGGATTACACTAAAAGGTTACAATGGTGTTCAGGGTTAGGCTCAGGTTACGTATTAGGTTGAGGTTTGTTGTCAGGGTTTAGGAGGTTAGACTGCGAGTAAAGTAAACCTTTGACAAACTTGGGCAATTCAGTGTGAGCATATGGAGAATGCAGAGGTTACCAAATATGCAAATATGATGTTTTATGCCAATCTTTATTTTTATTTTTTATCTTTATTTTTCTTTTAAAATTCAAACCTCACCCTTTCTTTCTGTTGGTGAATAGGACTGCCCATCAAATTGTAGTGCCAAAAAAATACCTAGGAGGTGGGAGAGGTTGGGATCAAGCTGGATTAAAAAAAAAAACATGCCTATATCTCAGGGTCTACTGTTGATGGTGTTTCCTGTAGGCAACACCTTGAAAATGTGTTTTTTTACAAGTTCAGTATACTTTGGGTAAATTACTTGCTTGGTATTATTTTACTGGGTGTGAAAAATGTACAAAACATCACTGGGTACTGAGCATGTGTTAGTGCAAAGCGCTGAGCAAACTGTTGGCGCTATATAAATCCTGTATAATAATAATAATAATAGTGCCAAATAAGACTAGGCAAAGAAAATTCAAACAATTGATGGCAAAACTTCATATGATAAAACATTTAGAACCAGTAAGTTATATAATTAGCCATGTTGAAAAATGACACAAGTCCGTCAAGTTCAATTAATAGAAAAAAAGTTATGGATGCACTCATCCTTTTGCTTTACCTATTGTTACATACAATTCAGTGGGCCTATCAGCACATTAGAGAAAAAAACATGGCTTCCATTACTGTAAACTTTCAGAAAACCATAGTCTGTGTCAGGGTCTGGATTTCAACTGCAACCTATCTGGTGTCTGGCTGTGACTTTTCTTGCTATGCCACCTCAGATGGTGGACATCCCCCTGTCTGATCCCTTAGAACAGTCTTGCCTTATCTCTTGTTTCACATGAATCTTCAACTCTTTGCTTCTCCCATGAACTTCCTAATTTAAGCTATGTCTCTGCACTTCTCATTAGACAGATTATTGGGCTCTCTCCAACCAATATATTGTTCCTTGGTGTGTCTCTACAGCTATTCTTATTTCCACTACCATTTGTTATCAGCCTTGGGCTTGTTCCTTGACTTCACTTGATATTAACTTGCAATGACTTGTTACTGACCTTTGGCTTGTTTACCGATTACTCTTCTGCTTGATCTCCACCTGCTATACTTGCTACTGGACCCCAGCTTTCTTACCTCCTGGTGGGGCAATCCTCAGGACCAAGACATGGTGTTAACATGCAGCAAAACCCATCTCTACCATCAGATGATCTGGTGAATAACAGTTAGCGCTTAGACACCACACCTTGGGTGAGACAACGACATCTGCCAGGGTGATTTGTTTGCGTATCCATCCTGTTGGTCGGTGAGAGCCACTCTACTGCTATAGCTACTGGTCTCTGAGCCTGACCTCTGATCGTGACAGGCTGTGTCTGGCTTCAGTAGTTTTGAGGCACTGACCATGAACAAGTACACAACAAATGAAAGGCAGAAGAAATAATTAAAAAATTCTAATTTCTACAAAGGTATAATGTTCAAATAGCACTGTTGCTATTGCTCAATATGACAGCCAAGGAGCTAGCATTCTCAGAAAAAGAGGCCAGCAATAGTAGCCCACATAACTGTCTCATGACAGGTGTACTTTTAATAGCACAAGTGTAAACCCATTGCAAGCCATGCATCCTAGGTATTGTTCCAGTATATGTCCCTTTTCTAGATGCACAATTTCTCTTTTTATACAGGAGCACCTCTCTTTGCAAGCACTCAGGACACCAACCAAGGCAGAGGTCTTACCTTGTTTTATTGTAGAAACAGCCTCATCCTCACCTGCAATTCACAGAGGCATTGAACACTCACCTGTTCTATATCGCTGTTCTTCCGGGATTTGTAGATGAACTCTCCTATTGCTACAAAGACTGATAAGACAAGTCCCGCAGCCAGAACAATGAAAATCCCTCCAATGTTCTCCACTCCTAAAGCGCTGGCTTCTTTACTGTCCTCCTCTGGACAACCATTCCCCCTCCACCATTTCTCCTTCATCATGTGTAATTTCCCTTCTTCCTGAAGCTGTAAGATGGCAATGGTGATTTTATCTCTGTATGGTGAACCTATGGGAAAAAAAAAAAGTGTGTAATACTCATAGTAATCATTATAAGAGGAAACTGCAGTACCAATATTTAATGTTTGGTTATTTAATGAAGCTGGGGCAGAACACAAAGCTTTTGAGACTGACTATATAATTTTGGAGCAGCAAAGTGGCTGATTGATTAGTACTCCTTCAACTTAAGATTCTATAAGCATGAAGTTTGTATCTTTTCCAAAGTTTTTTTATGAGTCTCTTCACTTAAAGCAACAATAAAGTGTATATTTTGTATACAAAATGTGAAGTTGCAAGCTACAAATTATGTTCACATGTACATTGTAGGCAGCGCAGTATTTCTGCTGACCTGAAGGTGGCACTATGCCATTTCTTCAGGCTGGCAGGAGACCATTGAAAACTAATTTGTCCTCTATTATGGGCTCCACATGTGCAGAAGGAAAGAGTAGGTTTCCCCTTGTAGGTTCCTTGAACTTGCAGCTTCCTTGAACTGTCTCCCACTGGCAACCAGATACCTGGAAGGTCTCTGGAGATAGCAGAGAAATCTTGTACCTTCTTCCTTTCTGCTAAACATTACCTTTTCTGCCTGAAGAAGTGTATGACCTACATATATAGTGCCATTATTATGAAATTTGGACAATATATTTGAGAGTGTTGTATGCTAGACTGACAGTGATAAAACAAATTAAACATTGTCCCTTTAAATCAAGTGAAGAAAGCAGATCACCTCAGGTAACAACAAGTAGAAAAGGGACCACTGAGTGCCGCCTGACGTCCAGGCCAAGCTACGTTACATCCTAGCGAAACACGTTGACGTCATCATATGTTTTGTGATGCCGCTTCATTGGAAGTATCGGTATAGGCCAGTATGACAGACAGGCCCCTAGGAAAGTGAGCAATAGGGAGTTTGGCTCCAAAGGAAGTTGGAGGTGCAGAGGATTGAACCTAAACTGCTCAATTGTGAGGGGTTCTGTGAGGGGTTCACTTAGTGAGTGTCCAAGGAAAGTGGTAAATTGCCCAACACTTTTGTTTTATCTGAATGGCATATAATATGCTTGTCGGCACGGATTCCCAATGACGTCCAACCTCCCTATATGGCCAACACATCTATCTAAGAGGAGAAGCAGCGTGATTGTTAGCGATTAATTAGGATAGACATGATAATTTATACAGCCAAAATGCATTGCTTTTGCTGCGAAATATAGACTGCATGAAATGCCTTCCACTCTTGCTCACTGCTTATGACAATTTGCTTACATTGTCTTTTCTCCCACCGATGCTTACAGCTGCCTCCTGTATATATCTAAAGGAGCATTCTTCGAGAAATAGAATGAATGTTTGTGAGTGGACTAGGATGAACATGATAATTTATACAGCCAAAATGCATTGCCTTCGCTGTGAAATATAGACTGCATTAAATGCCTTCCACTGCTCTTGGCAACTTGTTTGCATTGCCCCTTCTCAAGCCAATGCTCACAGCTGCCTCCTGTATGTATATAAAGGAGCCTCTATTATAATTTACCGTCTTCACAATTGCACACACTAATATACCCTGATAAAATACCTTTTGGACTTCCATGACCTGGCAATAATGGGATTTTCATATTATGACTATCCTTGTGTCTAGGCAATGAGCTGTATATTACACTGGAAGTAGACTGGCTCCTATCACGCTATGTGGTTTTAGATAAGGTCACATTCGTAGTGGCTATATACCTCTTCCGTCCAATATTCAAGAAATGTGTACAATTAGTTACATGGCCATAACTGATTTCTCCAATGGATCTGTGTGTTGGAAATATTTTCACGATATGAAGTGTTTGTAATTTTCATGCAGTGTTTTACTTAGGAATCATTCCTTGTATGGAATCATTTAGACGTCCGGACTTTTTTGTTTTTTGATTGTTTGTTAGTCTGGCTTGGTGATTTGTTTTGTTTTTTGATTGTTTGTTAGTCTGGCTTGGTGATTTGTTTTGTTTTCTGATTGTTTGTTAGTCTGGCTTGGTGATTTGTTTGTCATTATATGTAAAAAATCCCTGGTCAAACTATTGTTCATTCAGTGTAGGTGATGTTTTGGAAAAACACATTTTGAAATTTGTACTTTATTGGTATGATCAATTAAAAATTTTTTTTGCACTATCCAGTAGCCACTACAGTCATTATAGGTACAAAAAATTAGTAATATAGTGAGTGCTCTTAATGTATAGCAGCTGAGACACTCAAGGTAACCACAGTAACCTTTGAAGTAGCAATAAATATAAAGTGCAGCGCTTAATAAATATATCAGTAAATGAATAAATAGCAAGGTATGAGCTCATGTAGATAAAAAAATATTAATAGTTCAAAAATGGCACAAGTGATGGTTTCCTATGAGGCAGATATCTCAGTAAACTTGTGACTGGAATCAAAATGGAAGGGGTGCGCACTCACCAGAAGCGCATTGAAATTGCGCATATAGATATAAACCACAAGGTGATGATCCATAGTGGACAGGGTGGTGAGCTTCCCTCTAGAGACTGGTCCTCAAGCCTGGTTTAGTCTGAGAATCTGCTGGGTCCAGAGGTCCCCTTAAGGATGGATGGGCGCTCAGCCTGGATACAGGGCTCCCTCCTCTGGATACTGGATATAGGAACTTTCTATGGGTTTAATAGCTCCACATTCTCAGACTAAACCAGGCTTGATGACCAGTCTCTAGAGGGAAGCTCACCACCCTGTCCACTACGGATCATCACCTTGTGGTTTATAGCTATATGCGCAATTTCCATGCACTTCTGGTGAGTGCGCACCCCTTCCATTTTGATTCCAGTCACAAGTTTTCTGAGTTATCTGCCTCATAGGAAACCATCACTTGTGCCATTTTTGAACTATTAATAATGTTTTATCTACATGAGCTCATACCTTGCTATTTATTAATTTACTGATATATTTATTAAGCGCTGCACTTTATAGTCATTATAGGTAACCTGCTTTTGTTCTCCTCACTTGGAGGCCTTTGCTGTGTAGTATATATTTGGTTCAGGTTCATTGGCTGTATCTATTATGATATAGTAGCGGAGTGGAAATTAGCAAAAAAGTGGCCCCCTTCATAATCTTTTATATTAGTCCATTATAATAAACTGCCTTATTTCTGTGATTGTTCAGCTACTGATGGGAAACAGTTCTTGGAAACTGGCAGAAGAGACACCCTGGTAAAATAAACCTTCTATTTTATTTCTTCCTTGTCAGGAACCTCTTCCTATCGCTGCTCTTATGCACCTCCCAACAAGGGGTGAGTCCCTGACCTACTCCTACAATGCAGACACACTGAATGCTGCAGAATTTGCTATTTAAGCCCTTCTGTGTCAAACTGGCCACTCAAATCTTGCAGAATTTTTGCAACCAATAAAAGATGCCTGATTCCCCAAGATGGCCGCCTACAACCCATAATAGGGGACAAATTAGTCCTCAATGGTCTCCTGCTAGCCTGAATAAATGGCACAATTCAGCTACTTTGAGGTCAGAAGATATACTACAGCCCAACTTGCTGAGGGACTTGAGAAAAGGGGGACCCCCCCCACAAAACATGTTGTCATGGTAACCTTGTAAACAGAATTCCTGTCTTTCCAGTTTCTGCTGAGTGTGACAACGGGAGTTCCTTTAGCCATATGTGCGGCTTGTATACTGTGTGTGAGCATCCTAGCCTCATCATAGCCATCCAAGTTGTAGCCACCAGTGTGGGGTTCCCATGGACTCGGATCTATCTACTCACACTGCACATTGTAAGAGCCCTCCAGTAAGCTCTGCAGTCTTGTCATTTGGATGGACTTTGTTGCTTTTATTGAGGCACTGGTTACTCTCAACATATGTGAATGCAATGTATTTATAATTGTTATATTTATTTTAAATAAAGGCGTTACTGCACTGTGGTCTGTGCTTCCCTTCTGCTTTATCTTGTTTTTTTATAGTTACTTCATGGAGTGTCAGAAGCTGCAATACCCATAGCATTGGTGCACCTATTATACAGTTACCATACACATTTAGATTGGATCTATCTATGGGACTAGGACTTCTGGGAGTGTCAGTTTCCTGGTTACCCACAAATGATGCAGCAATGTTCATGAGAATAAATGGAGACAATACTCCAAAGCACTAGTCAATGGGCTATTTTTTTGTAACTCAAAGATTTTGAATAATCTACCTAGGCTTCTCTACTAACACATTTCATTCACAACAAGCGTATTCATACAAACAACAGCAGGGGACCAGGAAACCAACACTCTTGGAATTGTCTGTTTCTAAAGATTCTGCAGGCTGTGATTTTTTTGGCATTATAGGGTGTTCAGTGGAACAGGCAGCAGGAGAGGTGGGTATTTAATTATTTACTATCTTTATGGGGAACAGTTTTTTATTCGCACTTTGATATTAATGACAGAGCTGGTTTAATTTAGCATCCCCCATCCTTTTTTTAGGCATGCAGTATTAATGTATCATGAAAATGTAACAAACATCAGCAAGATAAATATGCAATTGAAGGCTGTGGAAATAGCAGGGTTAACTGCATCTGATCATCAATCCCATTCCTCTGGGACAAATATATTTGTCTTTGTACTCTTGTCACTTGTATTAGCATTTTTCAACAACAGTTCCCAGAAACAGTGTATTAAAAAGATGAACGTAATTTATACATTTGGAAAATTACATTTCTAGTGAGGGCTGGACATTATTTATTTTCAAAGCAAAGTGTATGGCTGGAAACATAACATTTTTGTCACAAGTGGCAGCACATCGAGTTGAAAGGAATTACATTTATATCTGGTGCAATGACAGAGAAGGCATGTGCAAGAACATTTCTGTCAAAATCATACAGTCCATCCATCTTTGGGGCCAAGTTGCCATACATACTGCAGGCAGTTCCTAACAAACTAATCTCCCACCCAACAGTGCCTGCAAAGTTCTGGTAATGATGTTATTGAGCAGAATCAGTGGTATAGGACTGGAAAAATGTCTCCTCTCTCAGATAACTAACCACAG